AATTCTTTTAAGACTTGAATTTATTTTCTAAATAGATGATCCATTCACTTTTCATCTTTTGGAAAAAAAACCAGTAAAGTATCACGCTGTTAAGACTTCAATTTTTTGTTTAAACCGCCCAAAAGATAGATTTTTGAAACGCGTCGTTCGCAGTCCGTGCACGCCCAGACGCGGTGTCGTTTCTGAGGTTGCTCGAGATATCTGGAACGGGTCCGTGGAACACTGTCCAGGACCCCCGAAAGCCTTTAGCAAGACCCGCAACAGATAATTCCATCGGTTAGTCGGAAGTCACTTCAGATCCTTCGGGCGAGAACAACCCCCGAGGCCTGGGAAACGTTCTCGACACTCGTGGCCCTCCCCCCTGGTTTTTGGGCGAAAAGAAAACAGAAAAACAGGCTCTAGGAGGGATTACGGATGAAATTAAAGGGCGCTAGGAGGGCAACAGGGGTGTTTCTTCTATTTTACAATTTAGGCTCGATTGAAGAATTTTAGGACAACATTTGTGATTTTTTTTTTTTTGGAGGGAGGAGAAGTTTGAGACTTGTTGAACTGAAACTTCTTGTATTATTTGGTGTAAGTATGGTGGGAATACGTGAATTTTTTCGTTCAAATTGCTTCGATAATAATGGAGTTATTAATACTTGTTTATGGTGATATTTGATGTTACAGAAGAGGGGCCATCTTATATAATTTATTTATATTATTTGACTCAATTTGGCTTTAATAATCGATATTCAAAATTGTAGCAGAAGCATTGGTAATAATTCAATAATTTAAAGAAAGTGTAGTTTATGTCATGTTAACAACATATTTCAGACATATTGACTGGTTTGTTCAATAGTACAGCGTTTTAATAGTATCCTGGTAAAATGAAATTGGAAAGGACAAATAGAAAGAGAACATATAAATATAATTATCTATATATACATATTTCATATAAAAAACAGGGTTATCTTTCAATTTTTTTTTTTATTATATATATACAAATTTGTATATTAAGTTTGAATTGTCATTCATACTTCACATAAATTCATAAATAACATACATATATACATACTATATACATAATACATTACACTCATTATGTACGATGTGTTTTAATTAAAAATTTCTCGAATTACTGCAGTATAATATTACGAAGCTGTACAACATAATTCCCCCTAAATAAAACCTACGAACACGCGCGAGTTAGATTCCAGCCACCATCGAGTTTCCGTAATTCTTTCCAAATTTTTCGGGCTAATGTCTCCGCCCACGTTCCTCTCGATCGTCTCACCGCCTCATGATCTCGATCCTTGGACGAGTAATCCCGTGGAAAGATCCGCGTCGCGGGTATCGATCCCACCGTGGATGAAGGGTTTAGTCACGGAATAATTAATGTGAGAGAGCAGGTATCTCCTTGCGTACACTCGTCTACTCCACTTTCTCTGCGGATTCAACGGTGTACGTGTTTACGGGAAGTTCGAAGGGGACGAGCGTGCATCGGTAATCGCTCCGACCAATCCATAGCGTCGCTAGTGACGAATACGAGCGGTGATCATTGTTCGTAGCGTTCCTTCATGCAGGAAGGATGCCACCAGCACGAATCTAAACGGTCCGTTTTAAAAGTCGAATGAGAGACTTTCCTTGGGCCACGCTCGATAGACTGTTTTAAACGTCCTTCGATGAATTAGGGACGACGATAAAATCATGCTTGGATCTTTATTAATAAGCAGGGAAAATCGCAATTGATTATGGAGTATGTTTATGGCCGTTTGAATTAGGGCTTATTAAAAAAGAGCATACTAAAATTCGACATAATATTCATATTCTAAAACGAAGAATTATGATATTAACATTATATGTAATACTTCATGTGTTACTTTTTTTTAAAGGACGAATTTAGGAATCATTAAAAAAGGCACGCTACAATTTTTGTTTAATATTCATATATTAAAATCAAAAATCATAATAGTAAAATTTTATCTAATATTTTATAGATTCAAAAATAAGAAATAAACAAATTTAATATCAGCTTTTATTACGAAATAATGACTTTAATTACACATCTGTATTAAATATTCACAAATGACGCCATAGTTTCCTGACAGTAAATAAACTAAAAAGTATCCATAAAGTATAGATTGTGATTAGATTTTTTGCTTCCAGAATTTTTTTCCAACGAATCATATTATTCAAAGTAAATTATTTCGTTTCCAACGTATCATATTTAACTGCGTGGTATTACTTAGCCCTTCGTAATATCAAATCGAACCTGCAACGTAATTAATTAACGCAGATGCCCACTTCTAATCGCGATAACAAATTTTGATCGCAGATCCTCGTCTGCGCTAAAAACTCGAGACAGTAAGGGCATTTTCATCGGATGAACCCGATGCAAGCTGTCATCGAATATAATACACGTTACCCGTATGTAACTCGAGGCTGCGGATAAACTGGGCTCATCGGAACTGCTCTCGATAAACGCGCGTACACTCGTAGCTCCGTGAAAGTGACCAACCGTCGCGTAAATCGCATCTGCCGCATTTATATAACAAAAACGAGCAAGTAGTCGAGGAAAAAGGAGGCGTAAGAACGGTAGCGTAACGACCGTCCCGGCGGCAAGGATACTCGAAGAAATTTAGAACGGGCCACGGGTAACGCGAGTATAACAAATGTGACACCGATCGTCAACAAAAGCCTGGCGCCGCTCCAAGTCGCGTTAACACGCATAGAAATTACCTCGGGCAATTTAAACGCCTGACCAGCGTTAATCGTATCGCCCCCTCTGGAAATATAACGGCCTGGGTACTTTCGAAAACCCCCATTCACCCTCTCGTCGTCCCCCGTTCGTAAAAAGATAGGGAACCGTTGAAAATCGAGGCACCCTGGGATCGCTGGAAATGATCCCTTAAAAAGTGGACAGAGGTGCTTTCAGGAAGTTCGAATTCCGATTTTTAAATAAAAATTATCTAGGGTGAGGAGTATCGATTTGACTTTGGAAAAAATTGTAATAAAACCATCGTTAACAGTTAAGTGAATCAAATAATATTGCTCCATTGTAGTAGAACATAGGATAATGAGAATGATCTACCGAAACATTTATGAAACCATTATCATCGATAAGTGTGGTGCAGACAAGTCCTTGTGACACTTATCGAACAAAGTGTGTGTGGAATTCGAGAAACATACGAGTAACCAAAAATCATGAAAAATGAAAATTGATCGGCTATACAGTTATATACTCTTAAAACCATTGAAAAGTTAAAACATAAATTCCACGTTCATTACAATTCAGAGGTTTACTTTCTCGCGATTATCAATTGGCGAGCACAGGACAATTCCACCTTCCACCTCCTCCACTGCGCGCAGTAACCGTTATCTTTCGTCAATTATACATAATTTCCTACCGAAACATTCCAAATACGCGACACATTGTACAATCCTCCTCGATCACGCTATCAAAAACCCACCCCCTCCGTACATTGCTCCATCCCCGTGCTCCTTTTCACCCACTTACTCACTTCCGTTTCAAATTTTCGACCCCCGAGGACCGCGACGACCGAAAAAAAAGCCATCGCGACAAGGGGCAACTACCCTCTCAGAAAAAAAAAGAAAAAAAAAAAGAAATTCTACCCCCGGCCCCAAGGAACGGATATCGCGCGTCGCGTCTCGAGCGACACTCTCCCGCAGCCGCGAGCCTCGCGACACACAGCCTGAACAGAGAAGAATGATCGAGGTGGGCAGAGGAGCGGACGAGGCGCGGAGGAAGCGAGCGAGAACACCGATAAGGACGGGACGAACTCGCGGCGCGCGTACACAATCAGCCCCGTTCGTGTACGTGCAAGACGGAGAGAAGGGAGGCCGCGAGAGACGAGCAGATGCCAGCGGGCAGAGAGAGAGAGAGGACGGACGGACGGACGGACGGAGAGCGGCAGCGAGCCACAGAAAGCGTCGAGCGCCGCTGCCGGCGCACAGAGAGAGAGAGAGGGGGATCGCGTTACCCCCACCACGGGGGTGAAAACTACCCCGAGAGCGCGTGGGGTGTCCGGCCTCGGCGCCGAGGCGAACCGAGCGCGTCCGAAGCGAGCGCAGTGCCCGACACACCAGGTCCCGCACGGCACGACTAGGCGCACCGTCCGGCACAGTCCACTCAGAGATACGACCCATGCTGGACCATCGTCGCTCTGGTCCACGCCGGCATCAGGCATCCAGCATCCTCCGTGCGGCATCCCGCGCGAGACACCAGGACACGCGTCCTACGCGACCGCAATCAAAAGGGACCACCGTCAACGAAGGTGCAACGAGACACTCGAGGCGCGTGTCGAGAAACAACAGTTCGATCCCTGACGCGTAACCACTCGTGCGTCCAGTGCAGACAACGTGAAACACGGTGCAAGACGTTCGTTTTATCGTATTTACATATCGTCTTTGAACGGAGTTCCCTCGGTGAACAAGGTGAACAGTGAACAAGGTGATCCGATTCCTCGATGACCGCGAGTTCCCGTGACACGGTGTGACGGAAGTCATCCCCGACGCCGAGTGTTCGGTATCATTCGAGACCCCCGAGTGACGGTGAGATCGTAGAGACTCGAGGTGAATAGGATCGAAAAAGATCAGGACAGACCGTCTCCTGGCGGCAAGCTCGAAGGTGGCACCTGTGCCACGCGGGCCACCTCTGACAGTTTTCCACCTGCGGCCCGTGACCATCGCGTATCTCGGCTCTGTCTCGGGTGTCGTATGCGCGCCGCGACGCGCGTCGTCCCGAGGAACATGAGGACGCACGTCAGTTGACGAAGAGGCGCGACCCGGCCGGCTGTCAATCCCGTAATCGTCGCGGCCAGGTGCGCGAGAGGATCGGGATAGACTGATAACAGGATCCAGGTGACAAGTTGAAAGTGTACCGAGAAAAAAGAGAGAACGCACGGGGGGTTCGCGGGGGTGCGAGAGTACCCCGAGGAGCCAGTGAAGTTCGCCGAGTTGGAAACAGGTGAAACGACGGATGGACACGTTCGCGAGAGGCGGAGGTGAGGAGGAGGAGGGTTGAAGCGTGACGATCTCTTCCCTCTTTTCTTACCCTTGGAAGGAGCCTCTTCCTTCGAGCGTGGTCGTCGCCTCCCCCCCTTTTTCTTCTCGCCTCCCGTGGACAAAAGGAATAAGATTCGATTTTCGAGGGTACGTCGCGACCGGGATCCACCACGACCGCCGCGAAACGACACCTTTCCGTCCTGGACCGGCGAGGGATACGTAATTCCAGACGTGCGACGCGCCGCGATCATCGAGAACGCCACCATGAGGATCAAAATGCCCGCGGTCAGGATCGCGCAAGGTGAGTGCGAGAGAACCCGCGTGAGACGCTTCAGCGTCGCTCGCGGAAGATCGTTTTGATGAATGCCGGGGGCATCCGTCGCCCCGACCGGAACAAATATCATTATTTTTGGATTCCTGAGACTCCGACGCGCGCCGTCGACCGAACGACCGAGCGCTGGAGAGCTGAACTTGAAAAGTAGAGCGAAACTTTTCGCGAATTTCGCCGCGGCTCGTTTAACGTTCCCTGTCGCGGGGGCTGGACGTCGGTTTTTTGCACGCGAATGACAGGACTTTTTGTAGCCAAAGGTATTTATCGGGAGTTGCGAGTCGAGATAAAGAAGAGGGGTCGTTAACGTTTAGGACAGAAGGATTTTTTCTAGCTTCTGATTCGATTAAACATCGGTTCTTGAGAATTAGACACCTTTGGGTAATAGAAAATGTGTTCAGGGGGGTTGAAACTGTAGCTACAGATTTGCAACGTTCAGGAGACACTTTGAAGAAGGATTTTTTTACACTTAGAGTATGTTAGTGGTTAATACGCTAGCTGCTGATTCGATTAAATGTGAATTGATCTGTTGTTCGCGAATCACAGGGATTTTTGTAGCAGAAGGTATTATGTGGAAGTTGCGAGTCAAGACAGATGGTTTGTAACGTTTAGAAAGTAGAAGAAGGATTTTCTTTGTTCGGGGTATGTTTGAAGTGACAGACCTTTCGATAATAGAAGTAGTAAATTTTAAGCGAGCCATGATTGTGGCTACAAGTTTGTAACGTCCAGGAAACAGTTTTAAGAAGAGTTTTTTATCTTTCGGGTATGTTAAGGGCTACCATTCTAGTTTCTGTAGTAGACAATATAAATTGGAGTAAGCTAGTCGACATTGGGATTGCGATTCTTTAATTTTTAGAAAGTATTTAAAAGAATGGTTTTCTATATTAGCAGTAAAACTACCGAGATCTATCAATAAAATTAATTCTCCACTAGAATAATTATCCCCAATAATTACGATGAGGCCGTTCTTAATAATGGATCAACTTTAGTAAATATTTTGACGTACTTCGTAATTCTAGTGTTAAATAAGATCGCCCAATCGTAATTACGACAATCGATTGAATAATTTCTTAAAACGATCCGTTACAAGTGAGAATAAAGTGAATCGTCGGTACGTGTCGCGCAGCCAAGTCCTGGTGACAGTTATCGAACAAAGTATGTGAAAATAAGGAAAAAGTTAGCTTCTAGGTGTATTAACAATTCAGTTACAGGTCCTGAAGGTCTCTGACATTTAAGAAATACTTACTAAAAGAATTTTCTATAATTAGAGCATAAAAGTCTTGCCTGCCATAAACGTTAACCGTCCAGCAGCTTGAAGTCCAGCTATCCACCTTCTCAGATTTAATTCTCCCGTTTTCGAATAAAACTTAGAAAAATGATTTTTTTGTATTAATATCACCGAACATCAGCTCGTAGGTAGAGTAACAATTCAGCCACGGATCTGTGACGTTTAAATAATATTTGGAAGGAAGAGCTTCCATAGCAGAACGTAATAATCTCGCCTGGAGTCAACCAGCTTAAGCTATTTGCCGATTTAGGTACAAATACGCGGGAGAATTCCTGGAACTTTTATGTAACACCTAAACGAAAGACTTCCCTATGTTACTGTACATTAATCTGGTACGAATTTGTAAACACACCGTAGGTATGTCAACACCTCGGCTCCTGGCCCATTTAGGTGCAAAAACGCGAAAGCCTGTCGCGCAGGAGTGTGTACGATCGCGAAATTCTGTTACTTTCGAATAACATCGTGGTGGCTTGCGTATCACGTAACAAAGGCTTTCTGACTGTATGTTAGCTGACCGAACTCCTGGCAACCAAAATGACGATCGCTAGAAATTTGGATCGGTCAGAGGAATCACCAAATCTATAAAAGTGACCGTTGCCAGATTCTTGGATGAGGAATAACGAAACGCTAAGTAGAGCCATCCAATTCTAATAAATATTGTTATTGCTGCCACGGTGTTTTGGTTTATTCACCCGCGTCTCATCCCAAAACATTTTAAATGCCACGTTACGATGCACTAATCTACGCGTGATAACGCTTTAGACTCTCGTCTGTTTCGGCACGAATGCACGGCGATGTCCTGGATCTGTCCCTCAGGACTGAACACCCCTCCGTTCTCTAATTTCCGAGTAGAACTTACAAGCAGAACTATACGAGTACAAATTGTAGAATCGCGTTTCGAATCGAGTAATTTTGTTTATTGGATTAATCGGACAATGATCGGACAATGCGAGGTGGATACTTCGAGGACCTTCCAGAATTCGTATCTATGCAAAACGAAGCACTTTTTTCGCGCGATACATCATTCTGATTAGCACGAGAGCAACTTACGCACACTCCACCCTGTCTCGCCGTTCCGATTGATCATCGTAAGTTGACAACTGAAAGCACCGTAGGCTCTGGAATTAATCCCATGAATAGGCTTCCGGTAGCTAAAGCGTTAACGTCAGGAGGCACCTTCGACGAGGACACTAGGGAAAGAACTCTTCGGTATAAATCGCTATGAATCCAAGTGCACTCGATGTTTTCTGTCCTATCAAACGGTTCTCCGTCGATCGAACGTTTGACAGTCCGTCGACGTTTGATCTTTCGTCGCCCAGCGATCTTAGGGCGTGTTTAAAATGCAAGTCCTGTTTCATCGATCTCTCGCTGAAGCATTGTTCTATCGCGAGCATGACGTATTCGCTAGAGAATCCTTAATGGCGTGTTTGTAGAGCCGCGTTGCAGCTGGGATATTAGCCGCCCTGGTAATTCGGCAACTGAACTCTTGATAACCCCTGTGGGGGGACAAGAATGTGTCGAACGTGGGGTTAAGGATTTCGACAGGGTTCATTTTCGTTTAGTTTTGGTTGAGAAGAAGATTGCGAGTGAATTAAGATTTCAATCGGAGTAGTCTTTTTTTTAGTTTTCGTGGAAGATGGTGAGTGGATTAGGATGATCTTTATTTTGTTCTGGTAGAAAAGAAGATGGGGAGTAAATAAGGATAATTTTTGTTTAATTCTGATAGAAAAGAAGATGGTGAAAGAATCAGGATAATTTTTATTTAGTTCTGCTAGAAAAGAAGATGGTGAGCGAATTAGGATCTTTATTTAGTTCTGCTAGAAAAGCCAATGATCGAATGTTTAGGTTCTTCAGTAGCTCGGAAATCAAATTCATTCAGTCATTGGCAGCTGAAGAACTGGGAGGAAATTGAAACGATTCCGTTATATTAATTATTATAGATACACTGAAGACAGTATGAACAGAATTGAGTGTGATCCTCGAAGGTATTCTTCTCAGCTATTAATGGCAATAGAACGTCTAAGAACCTAGAGTTGATGAACCGCGTGTGAAATTGATATGTCGAAGGTGCTCGAAAGATGCTTTAATATATAATGTTTTCTTTTTGATAATTGAAAAAATTTATTCTCATTCAGATTATGGCTACAGGATGTGATCAATTTTAGTCGAAATGGAGGTTGAAGCTAAAATATGCTTTATATAATATGCGTATGAAATAGTCATGATGATTTGGTTATTAACGTTATCAAATAGAACGAGTGTGAGACGTGCACTTTCAGGCAATGTGAATTTATTCTTGAATTGAACGATGAGTGTCTAGATTAGTTATCGTCGATACTCATGAATTTTGAACTCCTTTACTCGAGTCATCTCAGTGCATTTGAAATTATCTAACTGAATTGGAGTTTTCGAAGAAACATTTATACTTTTTTGGATATTTTAGAATGTACGGAAGATGACTTATACGAAACACTCGAGAATTCTTGAAGATTCTGCTTAAGGTGGCAGATCATGCTTTATTCTACTAAAGGAAGCTCTACCACGGAAGCTCCCAAAATGCTAAAAGAGGCTCAAGTACTTGATTCCTAAATTTAAACTTCATCCCCCTTCCACAGAAAATATAATTGCCCCTCAACAACTACCAAACCAGTCAAGTTGAAGCATGTACCTATCTTGGACTTCTTTCTGAAATTAGCAACTCATTGGCAACGTTTTTCATGCAATTCCTGGGAAGACTTATTAGAATAGGGAATTAGGTACTCCTAAGATCTTTTTGGAAATCTTCCACTCTATCTTCAAAGATACAGTAATGTGCATAAAAGTTATTAAAGCTTTTAAAATTAACAAATTTGTGTACTTTAAACATACAATATTAACACAAAATTTACCACAAGTCTTTTATATAGCATTCACTTTAATGCTTCGTGAAATATTTTTGCATTCAATTTAAAAAAATACAAAACAACACTAAAATGAGACAGCATCCTTGTATGTCAAAGTCGATTTAAGTACTACAAAAAAGAAAAAAAAAGTACATGGACAATATATCGTTCAGTAAAATAAAACCACAAGGAAATTTCGTGTAATTTCATCATTCGTAATAAATAATTAAACACGATGCAAAGAAACCCAATATTTTAATAATCCACGAAGAATAAATCCATATAAACAAACAGACATTTCGATATTATCCCATGAATGAAAAATTTCTGACTTTACCCAATCGAAAAGGTTTCCCTAACAGGATGTATAATATCCTCTTAATGAGCACTATTATTTCGACGCTTTTCGAAATTTCACTAATAAGTAAAAAAAAAGAAAACAAAATCTTTCCTACAAACTTCAAACAATACCGACATTCGATCCCTCAGTTTACCTCCACAATAAGAGAGCCCTCAACTTCCTTCGTTTAACCGTTATCGAAGGAAAAGTTCGCCCCCGTCCGAGGTCGGAAAACGGCGCGGAAAATCGGCTGGCGGTCGCGTGGCCGCGGCCGGAAGAAAATAAAAGGCGCGCGGAGGTCTCGAAGGCGACGCGGAACGGCGCGAAGGCAGCGGGGGCGGAAGAAGAGGGCCGGTGGGGGAGGGGGGGGAGGAGGAGGCGAAGGTTCGAAGGAAAGAGAAAGGGAAAGAAGGAATGAATGAAAACGGGGAAGGATCGAAGGAGGAGGGGAGAAAGCGGGAAA